TGGATCAAAGAAACCAGTTTTCTCAGCACTGCTGGTAGGAATATAAAATGGTTCAGCCATTCTAGAAAATAATTTTGCAATTACCTCTGAAATTGAAGATGCACTTACCACATGACCCAACATTTGCACTCTTGAGCATTTATCCCAGATAAATGATAACCTATGTTCTCAAAAATACTTGTATGTAAATGTTCATAGCAGCTATAGTCATAATAGCCCAAAATTGGAAACAACCCAAATGTCCTTCAATGGATGAAAGAAAAACATCCTATGTCCATACCATGTAATACTACTCAGCAACAGAAGGAAGCAAATTATTAATATGTGTAACAACTTGAATGAACCTCAGCTAAATTATGCTTAGTGAAAATAGTCTCAAAAGTTTACATAAGATATGATTTTGTTTATATAGCATTCTTGAAATAACAAAATTATAAGAACAAAATTATAAGTGTTGAGAACAGATTAGTGGTGGCCAGGGATTAGGGATGGTGGGGATAGTGGTAGGTTTGGCTATAAAGGAATTGCAGGGATCAACTTTGTGGTAATAGAGCAATTCTGTGTTTTGATTGTGTTGATACGTAATGAAGCTACATTTATGATAAAATTGCATGGAACTATACATACACATACACACACACACATGAGTGTGTATACAATTGGTAAAATCGGAGTGAGTTCTGTGGATTTTACCAATGCAATTTTCTAGTTTTGACAGTGTGCTACAGTTATACAAAATGTCAACAAGGGAAGAAGTGAGGTGGCGTTAAGGTTGAACAGGAACTCCCTACACATTTCTTTGCAACTTTCTGTAAATTTATATTTATTTCAAAATAAAAAGTTTTTAAGGTTGTTTTTTGTTTGTTTGTTTGTTTTTTGTTTTTTGAGATGGAGTCTTGCTCTGTTGTCCAGGCTGGAGTGCAGTGGCATGATTACTCACTGCAACCTCTGCCTCCCAGGTTCAAGCTATTCTCCTGCCTCAGCCTCCAGAGTAGCTGGGACTACAGGTACATGCCACCACCCTCGGCTAATTTTTGTATTTTTAGTAGAGACAGGGTTTTGCCATGTTGGCCAGGCTGGTTTCGAACTCCTGACCTCAGGTGATCCACCTGCCTTGGCCTCCCAAAGTGCTGGGATTACAGGCGTGAGCCACCAGCTATTGATTTTTTGATTTCTTTATTTAGTAAATCTGGTCACTGAGTCTTTTTCCCTATTATTGTAATCAAACTGTGAAGTTTTGTGAATTAAGAATCACACTGTGTTTGTAACATCAGAATGCCTTGATAATAAAGTTATAGAGGTTTCCTAATAATATAATGACCTAGCATAATTTTGAGTTCCTTTGCCTAAGCTCACAGGACTAATAGAAAAACAAAGAAAAAAACTTATCAAGGTAAAGAAATTGATTGCATAGCTTAATAGTAATAATTGTATTTGCATTAGCTAGTGAATTATGTGATAATACTTATTCTAAAAGCTAAAAACATGTATTGGCTATAAATTTTGATAATAGTACAAACATTTTAAATAACAAGTATTCTAAAATATAGTGTGATGGGCTGAATTGTGTCCCCCTCCTCAAATTCGTATATTGAAATGTTAAAGTCCTAATCTCCAGTACCTCCTACAGTAACTGTATTTGGAGATAAAGTTTTTAAAGAGGTCATTAGGGTAGCCCCTAATCCAATCTGACTGGTGTCATAAGAAGAAGAAATCTGTACACAGACACCTACAGACACCATGTGAATACACAGGGAAAAGGCAGCCACCTGCAAGCCTAAGGAGAGAGACCTGGAACAGATCCTTCCTTCGCTGTCCAGGAAGGAACCAATCCTGCTGACACCATGATCTCAGATTTCTAGTCTCTGGAGCTGTGAGAAAATAAATTTCTGTTGTTTAAGCACTCAATCTGTGGTACTTTCTTTCAGCAGCCCTAGCAAACTAATAAATGTAGTAAACCCCATATATATTGCACAATATTATTCAGTTACTTTAAAAGATTTGCATGTTAAAATTAGGCTTTAAAATCAAAGTCCAAAACTAAAATAACATTCCTAGAAAAGGGAATTGCTTAATATTTTCTTGCTGTTAATGTATGCTGAATATTGAGTAGCAGGTATGAGTAAAATATTTCCTATTCTAGCAAATGATTATCACTTTACGTAATTGACATTTTTTAAAATGAAGTTTTTATAGATGAAATTTTCTTAAACAAGAGCATACTTACTTTAATAAAATAAATTTCAGGAAAAATATTTTTACCAAGGCAGAATACTTATCAGGTGAATTCCACTCCCCAAACAACTATTGACTGAATAGTTGTTGAACTTTTAAAATTCAAATCTAGAATTAGGCTTAGAAATGTAGTCCACATTTTTCACAAAATTGATTAAATTAGGGATAGAATTGATTGATTCATTTATTCAATTAAAAATGTTTCTTTTGGATATGTGTTTTAACTGCCTATCCTACTCTGAGATTTAAAAATGTGGGGCTCAAAATGCCTGCCTCTGAAATGAAGACAGATAAACACATATTCAGGATCTTCAGCTAGTGGTATATCAAAAACAATCTAGAAATTTTGCTCAGCAATGCCTTTACTAATTTATTAGGCATTTATTGAGCTCTTGTTAATCCTAAGACATCATGGTAGAAATAATGGGGGAAATAGAAATGAATAAGATACTATCTATGGCCTAAAATAACTTATAGTCCAGTAGTAGTTCACATGTATGCATGTGATCAGTGCAACACAAATGTTGTAAATTGCTGTGAGTTCCAGGAAGATGAAGATCACATCCAGATCAGGTCCAAAAAGATTTCTGCACAGAGGTAACATTTGAGCCATGATAGCTGAATATATGAGGATAGGAGGACCTTCTTCATGGGATGGTGCTGAGACAGGAAAAGTTCAAGGTGGATACAATGACCAGTATAGGTTGACCTTGTGGGGAATCTTAATTTCTGAACCCCAGATCAGGACACATGTCTGACAAGTATGGAATTGTATAATGACAAGGGTAGAATTGAATCTTTGACACTAGGATTGCCATAGGCAAAGGAGTGTTTATTTTGCAAAAGGTAAATTAATTCATCTCCATCGAGTTTACTTTTTCCTAACTCTGTGTTAGGAATGTTGTAGCTTTTGTTAGTTTTGAAATCTTGATGTACTTTTCCATGTCTTAGAATATATTTCACAAATAAATTTGTATTGCAGATTTTTATTCTTTTAATGTAAGATAGAAAGTCACATTGACATTAGTTATTTCAGAGTATAGTGTATGCTAACAGAGTCAGCTTGCTAACCTAAGCAGTGTCATTTTGGCAAATGATAAATAGGTGACAGCATGTGTGTGGTGCTGTGCAGTGTCATTTTGACTTAAACATAGATATGGTTTTGGTATGTTATAGTTTATTCAACCTTAAGGAGCCACCTTTTTGGCTACAAAAATACACAGAAAGACTTTTTAGGTACGTAGGGAAACTAACCTCCTTATTTTCTTTAACTCCATTCTTTTAAAAATTTTATGTACTGTGTGTTAGTAGTTTTCCTCACACAAATTGGTGCATAGTTGTAAGTTTTTAGTAGCATATAGCTATTTTGAGGAAAAACATTCCCACATAAAATAATCATTGGACTATATTAAAATCCCACTTATTTGGTTCCTGCAATTTATTTCTCTAGGTTTTCCATTTTGAGCAGGAACTAAATGTAGAGAAGGTGCCAGGCCCCTTGTGCTTATTCCCCAGGTCTATCACAAATGCCACTTTTTCTCCCAGACATGCTTTCTACCCATGGAAAGATATTTTGCTTTTTTCTCCTTGTACTACATTCCTGATCCTCCTCATCACAATCCCTTAAAACATGCTCTTTTTCCTGTGCTCTGTTCTAGCTCTCTGCTTTACTTCTCCTATAACCATTTCCTGGCCATATTACCTCTACTGCATGTCTGTCCTATGTATCTCTATTTGTGGTCTTCACTGGCCCACGTGGTTGCTGTTTCTGCTGTGGTGGCACCAAGAGCAATAAACGAAACCAACCACTTTTGACATCTCATCACATGTTAAACCTATCACATAGTCGAGGATGGGCTAACCAAAGAAGGGAATTCCAATTGAAATGTCTGAAAAAGCAGACTGTCCAAATTTTCATGTAAATCACATGCTCATCAATTCAATTAATTGTGGTTGTACAAATTTTATAGCACTTATTTTATCTTTGTTGAGTGTGTGTTCATGTGTTTTAATGATCATTTAAGGCAATAGTGCAGAAAAGACTGATGAACAGGTAGCTTGTTAATTATTCCAAAGGATAATATGCTCCATGCATTTCTCATGAAATTATATAAAATTAGCACATTTAAATCTAAGTAGAGCTATAAAGACATTTTTATTAAACAATCTAAATAGAATAATGACATGATTATTATGATGAATTCTGGTCCTATTGGGGGGACACAGTACTATTAAAATCATTAAGGTATTACTAACTATGCTTTCTGCCTATAAATTTATTAGTTCTAGACACTACATCCTTCTAGTCCACTCTACTCCTAAAATCTTTCTTCATAATTTGTAGAGAATGTATCCTAGTTAACCCCTTAGAAATGCCACCCAACCAGCTCATGCTGGAACATTTAAATTTACTTTTCTGAATCATGTTGCCTAAAAAAAAATTTCAATAAAACCCATAACATTACACAGATCTTATATTATTCATTTATGTGAGTATTTAAAAAGCAGGCTTTATTACCACTTAATGCAATTTAAAAGCTAAAAAAATACTGTTAAAAGATTTCATGCACCATGTAGCAATAAAACATCATTTTCAGAATGACTACTGAATTTAAATTTAACTTTTTAGTTAGATGTCATTATAATCTCAGAAATGTCATATTGCCTTTCAACTATTAATTTCCTAAAAAAAACTAATCAATCTTTAGAGAAATGTTTTATGATTCAATTATTGGCTATTTGTAAACTTTGAATTCTTTTTACAGAAATAGACATACTGAATAAAAGTTTGATAGTGTCCCAGAGAAATAAAGTATGCCTTGAAAAGGAAATGAAAAATCTGAAATTGTTGTCAGATGCAGCCATATTGAGATCTCAGCAGATTCAGACATCTAGACAACAGGAAGTAAACTTGCAAACCAGATGCTATGATTTGGAAAAAGAAGTACTAGGTAAAGAAAAGTCTTTTTTGCTGTTGTTGGTGACTAGTTATATAACTACATGAGGAAATATTTACATTTTTACTTAAAATTACAACAAAATCTTGTTTTAATTATTTTGGGTTGCAAATATGCTTAATTATTAGTATCACTATGGTGATAACTGTGCCTGTGGTCAATACTTGCTGTCATTTCCAGTTTTGCCATTTAGTGTGGTAAGACTTAAGTGGATATATAAAAGACATTTCAACTGCAGTGTAAGATTTCAGAAAACTAAAGTGAAATTTACTTTGGTATATCTGTGCTTTACTATGTTTCCTTGTAAAAGTGAATCCAGATTTGTAGGCAATCCTTCATTTTTCCAAATGAAAAAATTTAAAGTGTTTGAAGCATCTTAGGCAAGGTTTTAAAATTTGTCTCTGCCTCAGAGGAATGAGTGTCTTGACAGTAAATGTAAGCAGTTTGTAATTTTCCCTGGAGGTAGGAAGGGATCGATAAAATAGGTAATCAGAAAAATGATATCACAAAAGCAGAGTTTTAGAAAAATTAATCTGTTATTAATGAATAGAGTATTTCAAACATCAAGACACTGGAGCCAGGTAGCCATTTTGAAAATATCTTTGCCAGTATCCCAATCCCAAGACTAACCATAAGAAGCTGAAGTAGGGAAGGGAACTCACATTTTTTAAGTCCTAAGTGTGCTAGACACTTTATATGAATTATTTCTATCTGTTCTTATAGAGACCACGAAAAGCATGTATAATTATCCTATCTTACAGCGGAGAGAACCAAGGCCCACAAAGTATCATAACTGGTACTACATTCCTAGTAAATGGCAGAAAGTAAAAGCAAAACTGGTTGGACTTCAATGCTCATGCTTGTCCCACTGTGTCTATTTAGCCTTCTCCGTGGCCCAGTGGGAAGGGTGAGATAGAATCAGGGTTGAGGTGACTACCCAAGACCAGGGAGATGAACATCTGTCTGGTAAACACGGAAGAGAAAGAAGTCAGAAAGCGTTCTGAACCTCCTGTGTTTGGGAGTCTTTAATCATGGAAACATACCACAGACTATGGAAATCTGGAGAGAACCTAGTGTTGGAAGAGAAGATAACAAGTCATCATATTAACTTTGTAGCAGTATCAACAGATAAAAATTTTAAAATCAGATAAAATTTAAAATAATCATATATTTTTATTTTCTTTCCTGAGAACTACCTATTCATAAATTCTGGAAATTTTCTATTGCATTATTGGAATTTTTCTTGATAATTTTATAGCAAATTTTATACAGTATAGGTATTATATTCTATATTCAATTTTTTTTCTAATGTATAATTTATCTATTGACTTTTTATCGTAAATTTTACCATATCGAAGTTTTTAATTTTGGTATAATCAATTATTATCTTGTATTGTTTCTGCATAGTCTTATTAAAGTCGTCCCATTCCTAGATAGTACATACAGTATCCTGGGTTTTGTTTCCCAAGTGAGTCATTAATACATATATAATTTATTTTGATTTTATTTAAAAAATTTAGACAGCTATTTGAAATTTTTTCTTTTTAATTTCTCTGGGTACATAGTAGGGGTATATATTTATAGGATAAATGAGATATTTTGGTACAGGCATACAATGTATAATAATCATGTCAGGGTAAATGAGGTGTCCTGCCTCAAGCATTTATCCTTTCTTTGTATTACATACAATTCAGTTACACTCTTTTAGTTATTTTTAAATGTACAATATTGTTGACTGTGGTTACCCTGTTGTGTTATCAAATACTAGCTTTTATTCACCCTATCTAACTATATATTTGTACCCATTAACCCTCCCCACTTTCCATCCCCCCAACCCTGCCCCATCACCCTTCCCAGACTCTGGTAACCACCATTCTATTCTCTATTGCCAGGAGTTCAATTGATTTAATTTTTTTTAGTTTCTACAAATAAATATGCAAAATTTGTCTTTCTCTAGCTGGCTTATTTCATTTAACATAATGACCTCCAGTTTCATCCGTGTTTTGCATATGACTGGATCTCATTCTTTTTATGGCTAAATAGTACTCCATTGTGTATATTTACCCCATTTTCTTTATCCGTTCATTTGTTGATGGACATTTGGGTTACTTCCAAATCTTGGCTATTGTGAATAGTGCTGCAATAAACATGGGAGTGTAAGTAACTCTTCAATATACTGATTTTCCTTCTTTCAGTATTATAACTAGCAGTGAGATTCCTGGACCATATGGTAGTTCTACATCTAGTTTTTTGAGGAACCTCCAAACTGTTCTCCATAGTGATTATATTAATTTATATTACCACCAACAGTGTTCAAGTGTTCTCTTTTCTCCATAACCTCGCCAGAATTTCTATTGTCTGTCATTTGGATAAAAACCATTTTAACTGGGGTGAGATTATATCTCAGTATAGTTTTGATTTGCATTTCTTTGATCATCAGTGATGTTGAACACGTTTCCATATACCTGTTTGACATTTGTGTATCTTCTTTTGAGAAATGTCTATTTAGATCTTTTTCCCATTCGTTTAAATCAGGTTATTAAATTTTTTTCCTATAGAGTTGTTTGAGCTGCTTGTGTATTCTGGTTATTAATTCCTTGTCAGATGGATAGTTTGCAGATATTTTCTCCCATTATGTGGGTTGTCTCTTCACTTTGTTGATGGTTTCCTTTGCTGTGCAGGAGGTTTTTAACTTGATGTGATTCCTGCAGAATGTTTTTAACTTGATGTGATCCCATTTGTCCATTTTTGCTTTGGCTGCCTGTGCTTGTGGGGTATTACTCAAGAAACCTTTGCCCAGTCCAGTGTCCTGGAGGGTTTCCTTAATGTTTTCTTTTAGTAGTTTCATAGTTTGAGGTCTTAGATTTAAGTATTTAATCCATTGTGATTTGATTTTTGTATATGGTGAGAGATAGGGATCTAGTTTTATTCATCTGCATATGGATATCCTGTTTTCCTAGGAGTATTTACTGAAGAGACTGTCTTCCCTCAACCTGTGTTCTTGGCAGTTTTGTCAAAAATTAGTTCAATGCAGATGCATGAAATTGTTTCTATGTTTTCTGTGCTGTTCCATTGGTCTCTGTGTCTGTTTTTATGTCAGTACCCAGTTGTTTTGTTTACTATAGCTCTGTAGTATAATTTGAAGTCAGGTAATGTGATTTCTCCAGTTTTGTTATTTTTGTTCAGAATAGCTTTGACTATTCTGGGTCTTCTGTGATTCCATCTAAATTTTAGGATTATTTTTGCTATTTCTGTGAAGAATAACATTGGTATTTTGATAGTGATTGCATTGTATCTGTAGATTGCTTTGGGTAGTATGGGCATTTTAATATTGATTCTTCTAATCTATGAACTTGGAATATCTTTCCTTTTTGTGTGTGTCCTTTTCAATTTCTTTCATCAGTGTTTTCATTTTGGAGAACTTTTACTTCTCTGGTTAGGTTTATTCCTAGATATTTTATTTTATTTTTAGCTATTGTAAATAGGATGATTTTCTTGATTTCTTTTTCAGATTGTTCACTGTTGTCATATAGAAATGCTACTGGTTTTTGTATGTTGATTCTATATCCTGCAACTTTACTGAATTAGTTTATTAGTTCTAATAGTTTTTATGGAGTCTTTAGGTTTTTCTAAATATAAGATTATATCATCTGCAAACAAGGATAATTTGACTTTTTCCTTTCCAATCCAATTTGGATGCCTTTTATTTCCTTATCTTGTCTGATTGCTCTAGCTAGGATTTTCTGCACTGTGTTGAATAATGGTGGTGAAAGTGGTCATCCTTGTTGTGTTCCAGACTTGGAGGAAAGGCTTTTAGTTTTTCCCTGTTCAGTATGATACTAAATGTGGACCTCTTTTATATGGCTTTTATTATGTTAAGATATGTTCCTTCCATACCCAGTTTTTTGAGGGTTCTTATCACAATGGCATGTTGAATTGTATCAAATGCTTTTTGAGAATCAACTGAAATGATCATATGGTTTTTGACCTTCATTCTGTTAATATAATGTAGCACACTGATTTGCATATGTTGGACCATCCTTGCTTCCCTTTTTTTTATTGGCCTGTTCAGGTTTTGGATTTCTTCATTGAGCAATCTTGGTAGATTGTATATATCTGGGAATTTATTCATTTATTCTAGGTTTTCCAATTTATTGGCATATAGTTGCTCATAGTAGCCTCTAACGATCCTTTGAATTTCTGCAGTATTGGTTGTAATGTCTCCTTTTTCATGTCTGATTGTATTTATCTGGGTCTTCTCTTTTTTTTTTTTTCTTTATTAGTTGGGTTAAAGGTTTGTTAATTTTGTTTATCTTTTGAAGAGACCAACTTTTCATTTTGTTGATCTTTTATATTGTTTTCTTCAGTCTCAATTTCATATATTTTTGCTCCGATCTTTATTTCTTTTCTTCTAATTTTGGACTTGGTTTTCTCATGCTCTAAGATGCATTGTTATGTTGATTTGAAGCTTTCTACTTTTTTGATGTAAGTGCTTGTTGCTATAAACTTTCTTCTTGTACTGCTTTTGCTGGATCCCATAGGTTTTGCTATGTTGTGTTTACATTTTAATTTGTTTCAAGAAATTTTAAAATTTACTTCCTTATTTCTTCATTGACCCACTGGCTATTCAGGAACACATTTTTTAGTTTTTCATGTTTGTATGGTTTTTAAAATTCCTCTTGTTCTTGATATCTAGTTTTATTCCATTTTGGTCAGAGACATATTTAATATTATTTCTATTGTTTTGAATGTTTTAAGACTTGTTTTGATGCTTTGCATGGTCTATCCTTGAAAATGATCCATGTGCTGAGAAGAATGTGTGTTCTGTAGCCATTGGATGAAATGTTTCTTAAATTTCTATTAGGTCCATTTGTTCTACACTTCTATTGTTATACTAGATTATTGTACTAGAGTCCATCTCCCTTTTTAGCTCTAGTAATATTTGCTTTATGTATGTGGGTACTCCAGTCTTGGGTTCATACATATATACAATT